TCTTTGCTTTTGAGGAGCATGGAGGTAAGAGCAGGAGGTTGGGGCTTGACTCTGGCTGTGAACTTTTCTTACTACCAATACATTATAAATATTTGTATCTACATATTACTATTTGCTATGGCAATAAATTGTATGATCTCTATTTTTTAAGACTATGAGCACAGAAATTTTGATATCAAGACAGAGAGGATCAAAAAGTTTACTGGAAAAGAGATTTATTTTATAAATAAGCCAGAGGTTTATTGGGGGCTCAGAACTGATTAACAAGCAAGATGGTGCCTCCCTCTTAATTTTTGAGAGAATATAAGAACATGCCCCTTGATTGCCTTGCACAGCTTAGAACCCACATATAGAATTAATAAGGAAATGAGCCAGTAACAATTAGAAAGAGATGGAGGTTTGTACTGTTGTCTACATGCACAGCAGGTTCAACAACCATAACTAGACCACGTGGGGAAGGGGGGGGTTACATCCCTAGACTTTGTCACATAAATAAGAATGAAAGATTTAAAAACAACTCCGATCAGTGTATAAATTGTCCTGATATGATATTTGATTCTGATTGTTATACATAGAAAAGTCTTGGGTTTAAATGCAAAAATAAAGCAGGCATTGAAGCTTTGTCTTTATTATATACTTTGTATAGTGTCAAGCATCAATCATTAGTAGCATATATGTGCACTACACCAGTAAGATGTCAACATTAGTTCTTCATAGTTATTACTCAGACATAAGGATTTGTTACATATTGCAGAACAAAATGTGTGAGAACTCATAACTTAAGAATAAAATCCTAAAACTGACTTAAAATAAAGAAATTCCATTTTCAAGTTTAAGAACACTAAAGTAAATAAACAAATACACAAATGGATGGATAAATGAATGAATGTGTGAATAAACAAATGAATAAATAGCACAAGGCAATATTCTAGGCTAAAAGCAACATGACTTTAGCATAGTGTAAATACACTATATTTAGAGAGGAAAGGCGATATGGCAGATAGAAGGTCAATCAAGGTCCAGAAGTCCTGGGTTCAAGTAATGCCTCTGATGAGCATCCATCAAATGAGGCAATTCAGAGAGCAATTTCAGTTGAAAGGTGAGGTCAGAAAGCAGATGGCAAAGGACAGAAAATTGAAAGGGAAGAAAGAAAATGGAGGCAAAGAGAAGAAAAAGGACTAGCAAATATTTGAAGTCAAGTAACAGATGGAGGATTACCCTGAAGAAGGAGGAGCTGAACCTTCCGAGGAAGTCCTTCCTATAATAATAAATGACCACGGGCAAGTCGTTTAACTTCTTAATGTTCCGTTTCCTTATCTGCAAAATGAGGATAATAATTCCTGCTCTATCTGTCTCCAATGAGAGGCCTTGGGTGTGAATTCTAGTTCTGCTACTTACTACCTGTGTGACATCAGATAAGCCACTTAACTTCTCTGGGCCTTAGTTTCCTCATTTGTAAAATGGAGTGTTTGGATTAGAAGACTTCTGATATACCCTCCAGCTCTAAATCTATGATCCTATAAGGATTGTTTTGGTTGTGGTTATGGTTTGTCCTTTGTTCTCGAAGAGGACCATGACATCAGGGAGATGATGACATGACTTGTAATTCAATTGGATTTGAGTGAGGGAGGGCTGTACAAAGTCACAGCCTCACTTTCTCCTCCAGAGCCATCCGGGTCCAGCAGCCAGATATCAATCAGGACAACTAGAGACGACCCAGGATACAGTTCCGATAAGGATGACACATGTGAAATACATAATAAATTGTAAAGCATCACATCATTAATATGGGGCATTATTATTTATGTTTGTTTCTCTCCCAAACTCTCCCCTACCACCACATTGAAAAAAGAAAAACAAAACCCTTGTTTAAAAAAAAAAGGGGCAGCTAGGTGGTGCAGTAGATAGAGCACTGGCCCTAGAGTCAGGAGGACCTGAGTTCAAATCCTGGCCTCAGACACATAACACTCACTAGCTGTATGACTCTGGACAAGTCACTTAACCCCAATTGCCCTCACCAAAAAAAAAAAAAAAAAAGCATAGTCAAGCAAATACCAAAAAAGCAACCAAAGAGCACCAGTCCTGGAGTCAGGAGGACCTGAGTTCAAATCCTGGCCTCAGATACATAACACTCACTAGCTGTGTGACTCTGGACAAGTCACTTAGCCCCAATTGCCTCACCAAAAAGAAAAAAAAACAACTAAAACTTCCTAGATTGGTCATGTAAAAATGTAAGTTTCATTTTACATCTTGAGTCCATCAGGTCTCTGTCAGAAAGGAGGGGAGGGGTAGCATTCTTCATCATCAGTCTTCTGGAATTACAGTTCTTGGTCAATACATTTATCAGAGTACTTTTTTGAAGTTGCTTCTTTTTACAATGTATTATTGCATAACTTATTCTCTTGGTTCTGTTCAATTCACTTTGCATCAGTTTCCAGGTTATTCAGAAACTATCAATTTTATCACTTCTTATGGTACAATGATATTCCATTTCATTGATATAACTTAACTTGTTCAGCCTTTTCCCAAATGATGCCTCCCCACCTAAGTTTCCAGTCCCTTACTACTATAAAAAAGAATTACTAAATAGATTTTTGTATGAGTCCTTTTCTCACTTGATTTCTTTAGGACATAGGCCTTGTAGTGGCATTGCTGTGTGCAATAATGCATACAGACTGTAGTAACTTTAGGGACATATTATTTTTCAAATGGCTAGACCATTTAATAGCTCTACCAATAGCATATTAAAGTGCCTGTTTTCCTGCAGCACTTCCAACTTTGTTATTTTCTTTTTTGTCATCTTTGTCAACCTTCGGGGTATGAGGTAGAACCTTGAAGTCTGTTTCATTTGCCTTTTTCTAATTATTAGTGCTTTGGAGAATTCTTTCATTTGGCTATCGATAGCTTGGATTTCTTCCTTTGAAAAAACTACCTATTCACATCCTTTGACCTTTATCAATTATTGTTAAAGTTCCATATATATGCATATAGGAAAGGTCAATCAAGGTCCAAGATCTTTATCAGAGAAACTTTCTGTAGTTTTTACTTAGCTGAATTCAATCTATATCCTTTTTTAACTTAATTTTATTTTTTTCAGTTGATGAAAATCCACTTTCCCTCCTACTGAACCCCCCTAACACACATTCACACATACATACCACCACCACAACTGAAAAAAGAAATACAAAACCCTTGCAACAAATATGCATAGTCAAGCAAAACAAATTCCTACTCACAGGAACATCACAGCTAAGTTTTAAAGTTCCCTGGTTAAGGAGAAAATACTATAAGCAACTAGAAAAAAAAAGCAATTTAAATATTGAGGAGTTGCAGCCAGGACAAGATTTAACAACTTCTACATTAAAAGACCAATGGTAATGGAACAATATATTCTAAAGAGCAAAAGAGCTGGGCTTGCATCCAAGAATAACTTACCCAGCAAAGCTCTGTGTTATCCTGAATGGAAAAAAAAATGGACATTTAATGAATCTCCTTTAGGAGATTCAGGTATTTGTGAAGAAAAGACCAGAACTAAATGGAAAATTTGACCTACTAGACTCAAGAGAAACATAAGAAGGAAAACATTAAAGACCAATTATAAAGGACTTAATAAGGTCAAAATCCTTATATGGGAAAATGTCATCTGTAATTCTTAAGAATTTTATCATTACTTTGATAGTTTCAAAGAGCATATATGGATAGAAGGCTTGGGGTTGAGTTGAGTATGATGGGATGATCCTATAAAATAACATTGGGTAAGTGAGGTAAAATGGAGCATTCATCTCATACAAATGAGGCGTGAGTGGAAGAACTGCTACAGTGGAGGCAGGAGGAGGTGGAGGGCTGGTCATGCTAGAACCTTATTCTCATCAGAATTGGGTTAAAAAGGGAATAATATACATTTGGAAGTATATAAAAGTCTTCTTAATTTACAGAGAAAGAGGAGGGTAAGGAGAGAGGATAAGGGTGGGATTCTTAGAAGAGGTGCAGATTAGGGAGGTAATGGTTAGAAGTCAATTAGACATTTGAGGAGAGATAGGGTAAAAAGAGAGGGAGAAAAGAATAAACAGTGACAAAAAAATGGGATAGAGGGAAATGCACAACTAGAAATTATAATTTTGAATGTGAATGGGAAGAAATCATTCATAAAATGGAAATGGTAGTAGAATGGATTAAAAACCAGAATCCAAATACTATGTTGTTTATGAGAAAAACATTTAAAAATGAGAGATACATGTAGAGTAAAAATTAATGGCTGGAGTAGAATTTATTATGCTTCAGCTGATACAAAAAAAAAAAGTAGGGGTAGTAATCATGATCTCAGACAAAGCTAAAATAGATTTAATTAAAAGAGATAAATAGGGAAACTACATTATGATAAAAGGAGCCATAAATAATGAAGTAATGTCAATATTAAACCTATATGCACCAAATGCTATGGCATTCAAATTTTTAAAGGAAAAGCTAAATGAATTACAGGTGCAAATAGGTAGCAGAACTACAAGAGTGGGGGACTTAAATCTTCCCCTTTCATAACTAGCTAAATCTAACCAAAAAAGTCAAGATGAATAGAATCTTAAATAAGTTAGAAATGATATATATCTGGAAAGAATTGAATGGGAACAGAAAAGAATACATCTTTTTTCCAGCAGTACATGGTGCAGTTACAAAAACTGACCATCTATTACAGCATAAAAACTTTATAGTTAAATGAAGAAAATTCTATTTCTAAAAATAGAAATATTAAATGTATCTTTTTCAGATCATAATGTAATAAATTTATATTTAATAAGGAACCATGGAAACACAGATTTAAAATTAATTGGAGAGTAAATAACCTAATCTTCAAGAATGGGTGGGTTAAAGAACAAGTCATAGAAACAATAAATAATTTTATTAAAGGGAATTATAATAATGAGACAACATACCAAAACTTATGGGATGCAGCAAAAGCAGTATCTGAGGAAAATGTATATCTCTAAATGCTTACATCAATAAAACAGAGAAAAAAACAGACCATTCAATTGGGTATGCAACTGCAAAAAAAATAGAAAAAGAACAAATTAAAAATCTCCACTTAAACACCAAACTGGAAACCTAAAAATTAAAGGTGAGAATAATAAAACTTAATTTAAGAAAACCATTGATAATATTGATAACTAATATAAATTTGACAATTGGTTTATTGATAATTGATAACAAATAAAACTAGAAGTTATTTTATGAAAAAAAAACAATAAAATAGATTAAACCATTGGTTAATAAGATAAAAGAAGAAAAAACCAAATCATTAGTATCAAAAATGAAAAGGGTGATTGTATCACTAATGAAGATGAAATTAAAGCAATTATTAGAAATTACTTTGCCCAATTATATACCAATAAATTTAACAATTTAAGTAAGATAGAAGAATATTTACAAAAATATAAACTGCCCAGATTAACAGAAGATAGACTATCTTAATAAACCAATTTTAGAAAAACAGATCAAACAGGCCATAAATGAGCTTCCTCAGGAAAAAGAAAAAAAACACATCAAGACCAGAAGGATTTACAAGTGAATTCTACAAAACATTTAAAGATCAACTAATTCCAATATTAAATAAATTATATGGGATAATAGGCAAAGAAGTCCTATCAAACTCCTTTTATGAAACAAACATGGTGCTGAGTCCTAAATCAGGAAGAGCAAAAACAGAGAAAGAAAATTCTAGAACAATTTGATTAATGAATATGGATGCAAAAATCCTAAATAAAATACTCACCAGGAGACTACAATAATATATTACAAAGTTATACATGGTAACCAAGTGATATTTATACCAGGAATGCCGAGATGGTTTAACCTAAAAAAAAATTATTAACATAATTAATTATATCAATAACAAAAGTAACAAAAATCATATGATTATATCAATAGATACAGAAAAAGCTTTTAACAAAATACAATGCTCATTCCTATTAAAAATATCCAAAAGCATAGTTATAAATGTATTTTTCCTTAAAATTATAAGAAGCATCTATCTAAAACCATAAACATTATTTGTAATGGGGATAAGCTATAAGCCTTTCCAATAAGATCAGGAGTGCAACTAGGATGCCCATTATAAACAATATTATTCAATATTATATTAGAAATGCTAGCAATAGAAATAAGAAAAAGAAATTGAAGAAATCAGAATGGGAAATGAGGTAATAAAACTATCTCTCTTTGCAGACAATATGATGATATGCTTGGAAAATTCTAGAGATTCAACTAAAATGCTAATTTAAACAATTAATAATTTTAGCAAATTAGCAGGACATAAAATAAACCCACACAAATCATCAACATTTCTATATATCACCAACAAAACTCTGCAAGAAGAGATAGTAAGAGATACCCCATTTAAAATAACAGTAGACTGTGTAAAATACCTGGGAGTATATCTGCCAAGACAAACCCAAGAACTACATGAACATAATAATAAAACTTTTTATACAAATAAAGTCAGATTTAAATAAGTGGAGAAATATTAGTTGTTCATGGGTGGGCAGAGCCAATATAATAAAAATGACAATTCTACCTAAACTAATCTACTTATTCAATGTCATCTCAATTAAACTACCAAAAATTATTTTATTGAGCTAGAAAAAAATAACAACAAAATCATTTGGAAGAACAAGAGGTCAAGAATATCAAAGGAATTAATGAAAAAATTGTAAAGGGAGGAGTTTTAGTAGTACCAGATCTTAAACTATATTATAAGGCAATAATTATCAAAACAATCTGGTACTGGTTAAGAAATAGAAAGGTGAATCAGTGGAAGACATTCAATACATAGTAGCAAATGATTACAATAACCTTGTGTTTGACAAATATAAAGATTTAAGCTTTTGGAATAAGAATATACTATTTAGTAAAAAATTGTTGGGAAAACTGAAAAGCAGTCTGGCAGAAATTGGGCATAGACCAATTTCTTACAAAATTTACCAAGATAAGGTCAAAATGGATACCTGACCTAGATATAAAGGGAGATATTATAAGAAAACCAGAAGAACATGGAACATATTACCTATCAGACTTACGGATAGGAGAATTTATGAATAAACAAGAGACATAGAGTATTGCAAAATGTAAAATGGATAATTTTGATTATATTAAATTAAAAAGATTTTGTATAAATAAAACCAATATAGCCCAGTTTAGAAGGAAAGTAAAAAAACTGGGAAAAAAATTTTTAAAAGTTTCTCAGATAAAGGTCTCATATCGCAAATATATAAAGAACTTTGTCAAATTTATAAGAATATGAGTCACTCCCCAACTGATGAACGGTCAAAAGATATGAACAGGCATAGTTTTTCGATGAAGAAATCAAAACTATATATAGTCATATAAAAATGCTTTAAGTCATTATTGATTAGAGAAATGTAAATCAAAACAACTCTGAGATATCATCTCATATCTATCAGATTGGCTAAAATGACAGAAGAGGAAAATGACAAATGTTGGAAGGGATATAGAAAAATTAGGACACTAATGCACTGTTGGTATATCAGTGTGAACTGATCCAACCATTTTGGAGAGCAATCTGTAATTATGCCCAAAGAGCTATAATACTGTGTATACCCTCTGACCCAGCAATACCACTATTAGGTATGTTTCCCAAGACAATCAGGGAAAAAGGAAAAGGACCTATAAGTTCTAAAATATTTATAGCAGCTCTCTTTGTGGTGGCAATTGTAAATTGAGAGAATGCTTATCAGTTGGGGAATATAATTGCAATGGAATACTACTGTACTATATGAAATGAGCTAGTTGATCTTAGAAAAACATGAAAAGACTATAAAATAATGAAATGTGAAGTGAGCAGAACCAAGAGAACATTGTATGTAATAATAGCAATATTGTTTGAAGAATAACTGTGAACAAGCAAGTTATTCTGAGTGCTATAAATACTCAAATCAACTATAAAGGACCCATGAAGGAAGACACTACCCACATCCAGAGAAAGAACTGATAAATAGAAGTACACACAGTATGGTTTTACATATATTTATAAATCTGTGTCAAATTGTGGCCTTTTCTAGTGCTGGATGGGGAGGGAGGGTGACAGTTTGGAACATAAAATGTAACCAAAGATTATTTTAAATAAATAGATTGAACTCCATCCCCACCCCCACCCTGACATACACATAAAAATTCCTGCATTGACCACATCCAAAAAAGATGCCCTAATATGCACTGTGAGTTCATCACCTTTCTGTCAGGAGGAGATAGTAGCATGCCTCTTCACAAGTCCTGTAGAATACTGTTTGGTCATTTTGATCATCAATTTACTTTCCCCTCTTTATGAAGAAGAGAGTGATAAGAAAGGGATATGTTTAGCACCTTTGCAATCTGCTGGGTGAAATCTGCTTCTATTCTTCTGCTCTTCTGTTGCAACAGCCTCAAGTCTCCTCCCTCTTTAATCCATCCTCCACATGGCTGGTAAGATTTTCCTAAAGTACAGGTCTGAACAAGTCTCTCCACTACTCAATAAACTCCAATGGCTCCTTATTGACTTTAGGATAAAATATGAAGTCCTCTGGCTTCAAAAGCCCTTTAAAACCTCAACTTACCTTTCCAGACTGTTATATTACTTGTGTGTATATACACACATGCATATATATCACACATGCAAAATAAATACATGATAATTTTGTGAAAATACAAGATAATTTCAGGGGTATGGTCAAGCAGTTGGGGGGGGATCAGGAAAGGCTTCATTTAGAAGGTGGTACTTGAGTAGAGTTTTGAAGGAAACAAGGGATTCTAAAGGTAGAAATGACAAAGAGAATTTGAGCATTAGGGACAGCCAATGCTGACTGCAGTTACAGTCACTATAGTAAGCCTTCACATTGTTTTCCCTTATAGAAAGTAAGCTTCTTGAGGCCAGGGACCATTTCATGTTTGTATTTCTACCATTGAGCATAGTGCCTAGCTAGCACTTGGATGCCATGTAATAAATACTTGTTGATTGATTGAGAGTCAAATTCACCTCTACCTCATGATGAGGTACTGAGCAGGACTGTGTGGAGATGCTTAATAAAAGCTTCTTTTTAAAAAAAAAAGTTTTTTTGAAATATCTGAAATGTAAGAAGGTTAGGAGAGAAAATCTTCCAGATATTTTTGGTGATAGAGTGGCTCCCCAATTTTAGGTTTAAGTCAACTACTTTAGAACATACTGCCTATGCTCTGTTCTTCTTTCTTCTTTCTCTTTCCTCTATATTTCCCTTCTCTTCTCGCTCACACCTAAACTGAATGTCTGTAAGGAGTGGGGTACAGCTGGGGGAAAATAGAACCACTTACATTTTATTTATCTCATGTCATATACTGCTCTGTATAGTTGAGCAGAGAACATTTCATCCTAATTCTTAAATAGCTAATCTATTTTGCAGATTATCTTTAGAGTTTCAAGAGAGATAGCCTCCCTTCCTCTAGCCCTTATCTTCTCCCCTGTTTCCCAGGCCAGCTTGGCCTTATTTTTAGTAACCTCGGTTGTGGAAGATAAACAAATAAAAAAATGTTGTTGTTCAGTCATGTCTGATTCTTTGTGACCCCTTTTAGGGTTTTCTTGGCAAAAGTACCGGAGCGGTTTACCATTTCCTTCATTTTATAGATGAGGAAACTGAGGAAAACAGTGTTAAATGACTTGCCCAGGGTCACACAGCTAGGACATATCTAAGGTTGAATTTGAACTGAGGACTTCCTGACTCCTGGCCAAGTGCTCTATCCATTGTGCCACCTAGCTGCCCAAACACATAGAAATAATTCTGTATTATTTATTTTGACAATCTTTTTTTTTTTTGCTATTGCTAATACTTTACTGGTACAGTTTTATGTTTGCTATCACTATATCCTTATCAATTATATTTGAGCCTTCCGTCCTTTATCCTTTCCAATAACTGGCCTTCAGTAGATAAATGTACAATCTTAAGGATAACTATGCTTTTGATTTATCACTACTACATGTTTGGTTTGGAACTACTTTTCTAATTGCGAGTTGCATTTGTTTTGATTCCAACTCATACTATCTTGTCTTCTCTCCACTATTAACAATATACATTTTCAAAATGGCTCACTGAAATTAAATTGTTATTATTGTTATCGAATACTAGCAGTCACTAATAGGGGACACCCCCCCACGACTTACTTTGGCTTTTCTAACCCTACGCACGCCTTAACCTTTTCTGCTAGACCAACAATGATAGCTGCTGCCTGATTCATCTAGGTTGTAATGTGCATCCCATCTCCAACTGCACATCAGAAATGTATTTTTGGCATTTGGCTTTATCCAAATTAGCACTTTATTATAACTTGGACTGTATGTTCTACCATAGCCTTAAATCTGACTTTCGTTGCATGTGTTTGTTCATCCTCCTCATCACTTAACACAGTGCTGGTTACATCGCAAATACTCAAATACTTGGAATCATAGAACTTTCTGAGAAATGTCATAATATATGTAAAAAACATTTTGAAAAATTGGAGTGTACAAGTAGTATTATCATGGTGATTTAGTTCAAAGCCTCTCCCACTGTCATTCTCAAATGAGAAAATTGAGCCCTAAGCAATGGCAGTTTCCTATCTGAAACCTCAGTCACACAGTTTTTGTAATAAGTCTGGGAATCAATACATAGCAAACCTACCTCCTTGCTTCTGAATGAATAAAACAGATTTTAAATAGCCAAAGTCAGGGAATTCTCAGAGGAATCACGTCTTGGGGAGGAAAGAAGGGGGCCTGATCACTAAGGGTCAAAGATAGGAGGCCAAACTGCAGTCAGAAAAATGTATTAGCATGACATGGAAGACTGTTTGCTGACAGCAGTTTCAGCTTCGAGGATACAGGTTTTTTAAACTTTTCAGGCTCACTTAAGAGTACACAGACAAATCAGCAGCATTCTGCAGCAGCTTAGGATAGAGAAATTAACACTTCTCAAGTGAAGGAGAAGAAAAAAGGAGAATCACCTAAGGTAAAAGAGGGGTTTTGGAAGAATATTTGCCATGAAGCTGGCAAGGTTTGTTATCAGAATGAGAAAACATTCCCTTTTGAAGGGCAGGGCACTGAGGAGGTGACCAACTACTTATGTAATTGTTAAGGAAGTCCACTTAGACAAAACTCAGGGGTCTCTTATCCAAAGACAACAAATATTTGTTACAACAGTGACCAAGACTGTTTGCTTTACCTTGTCCTTGCAATCCTTTGTTATATTTTATTTGTCCTTCAGTAGTGGTTGATAAATTTCTACTATCAGCCCACCAGGTTTGGGGGGGGGGTGTTTCCACACTGCTAGTCCATCAATGTTTTGAAATGATTGTGGGTGCTATTTTTCCCCTCATACCAAATGATGTATCAGGAAGGAGTGTTAGAGATCACCTGGTCCAACTTGCTCATTTAGACCTGAGGTCCGGAGAAGTTAAGTCACTTGCCTCAGGACACATAGTGACAAGATACTGAGAGGCAGGATCTGAATCCCGGTACAGCTCTTCCCACCATGCCCGTCTGCTTAGTATAGCTGAATTTCCAGCAGCTTGCTATCACAATGTATTTTACAAGTTAACAAACAAATAGTACAACTATTCTCACAAGGATAATCTCTGCAAGAATTTTTCCGAGTTAAAAATCAGTCTTCATACTTGAAAAAGTTTAAAGAGTACCAGTCAAGTTGGGATCTGGAGCTGGGAAGCCGATTGTTAAATTGTATGTACAGTTACACCTCCTAAAACTACAAACCAAGGTTTGATTTATTTATACTGTTGATTATCTAGAGTTCAGAAAGTAATAGAGAAAAATATTAATAATGCAAATTAAACTTAAGATTGTGAGCGTGCAATTCCCACCCCACCCCCCACAAAAAAGAGTCGGTTGTTAAAACGTTTACCAGCACACCGCTGAGCCAGGGTCTCTTGCCCACTTTCACACCTCGGCTCACAACTCTAACTCTAGGGCTTGTGGCATAGAAGAACTCGGAAGTCTGAGGACGCTGTTCACTGAGGAGTGAAACAGATAGAGCAAAGGCGGTCAGAAGCAGCGTCGCCTCCCGATCGTGCCCGGTCTCTGTCCAGCGTTCTCCAGAGGGGACTATTGGCACCTCTACCGAGACTCCAGTAAGAGGCCTCCGCCCAAACCCAACATGGCAGCGCCAGCGGCTTCACCGAAGCGGCGCGAGTTCTCCATCACGTGACGAGAACCTTTGTATCTTATTGGCTCTCGCTGGGGGTACGGCCTAGAAGAAAGCGTTAACTCCCTCCCTAACTTAAAGAACCCGCAATCAAATTCGCCGTTCTCCAGCTTCGGGGAAGGGCATGGTCCGGGGTGGTTCACTTCTCCCCTTCCTGGCTCCGGGAAGGGTGGAGTGACTGCGCTTGGGAACGAGGGGGTTAACGGCGAGTCGGTCTGAGGCGGTAACCGTGGGAAGGAGCTCGGAGCGGCGCTCGCGCCCTGCCTGAACGTCTAGGTGCGGGAGGCTCGCGTTCGCCAGCCTCCGTCCTCCCCCCGCCCTCGGCGCTCGAGCCGGGCTCGCACCCTCCACCCCCCGCGCTCCCGCTCGCCAGCCTCGGGGAGGACCCTCCGCGGCCCCGCCTCGTCCTGCCGGCTCCGCGTCCCGGTCTGCCCGGGATGGAGGGCGGCGTGCTGGGGTCCCGGAGCGAGGCGGCGGTTGTCTCCGTCGCCGGCGCGGCGTCTGTGGAAGGGGAGGAGGCAGGGGAGGAGGCGGTGCCACCGGGCTTGGAGGCGACGCGGCCGCACTTCTCCCCGTTCGAGGGGGCGGAGGCCCGGGACGAGGGCGGGGGGGACTGGAGCTTCATTGACTGTGAGATGGAGGAGATCGACCTGCAGGACCTGCCCAGCGCCATCATCGCCTGCCACCTGGACCCGCGCGTCTTTGCGGACAGCCTGTGCCGGGTGAGGCTGGGGCGGGGAGGGCTTCGGGCCGCCTGCGCCCCTCGGGCCGCGCCCTCCGCAGCCCCTCGGGCCGGGCTCCCCCCAGGGATGGCGGCCGCACCTGGCCGCGCAGGGGCGGGGCCGAGGGGAGGGGGGCACTTGTTGCGCTGTGCGGCCTCGGGGTGACCGGATCCAGGAGCACCGGCTTGGCTGGGCTGGGGCGGGTCGGGAGCTCAGAGCCCGGGGAGGAGGCGTCGGTGGGAGGATGGGGCGGGGGAGCCTCGGACCGGCAAGCGAACGATGCCACCTGTGGGGCGGGGGTCCCTGGTTTGTCCGAGGGGGACTTTCAGTGGCACCTCCTCAAGCCTTGCAAATCTGGGTCCGAGCGGAAGCCGTCCAGGGGCTTGTGCTTCTGCCCCGCTCGGCTCTAGGGCCGCTCGCCGCTTTCCACGTCTGATCCTACGGGGCCTGAAACCCTGTAGGTAAAGACGCCTCAGGGAGCCGCCTGCCTGTTGCTGTCCAGCCTGGGACCGAGCACACCTAAAGCGGTGCTACCTGGACAGCCGCAGGAGCTGTTTATAATGTGACAGGAGGCCTCATCAGTGAGAAACGAGCGTTTGGTTCGCAGCCTCCTCGATTGAGGGGACTCACGCTGCTGGAAATGTTAGGAAGTCGGCCAATCAACTGTCCACAAATATTAATTACGCATTCACTAGGTGTGGGGTCTGTGCTAAGACCTGAGAGAAATGAAACAATCTCTGCCCTCAGAGAACTTGCATTCTAGTAGGGAAATCAACCTGTGAAAAGGTAATAATAATAACTCACATTTGTGTGGCATTTTAAGACCTTCAGAATGCTTTCCTTACCACAATCCAGTGAGTCAGTGCAAATATTATCTCTATTTTACAGATGAGGTAAGAATCTCAAGAAAGTGACTTTTCCAGGATTATCTACCTAATATGTGCTATTACTAGAACAAAAATAATCATGATGATGAGCTAGTATTTATTTATGGTGGTTTCATATATTATATTATTTGAGGACCATTGTGAAATTGGTTATGGAACTGTTTTCCAAATTTACATACAAGGAAAGCAAGTCTTGAACAGTTCAAGGAACCTGTGGTCAAACAATGGTTGAGCAAGGACTCAACAGGTCTTCTGATATTCTTTCCACTCTTTATGCTGATAAAAACCACAAGATGGTTCTCTGCCTTCTTTTAGTGCTAGGTGGCAGTGGATACAGTGCCTTAAGAAGACTCGAAATCAAATCTAGCCTCAGAAGTTTACTAGCTGTGCAACCCTGGGCAAATCACTTAACCTCTTTCTGTTTCAGTTTCCTCAGCTGTAAAATAAAAATAATAATAGAGCCTATCTCCCTGGGTTGTTGTGAAGATAAAATTCAATATTTGTAAAGCAATTTGCGAACCTTAAAGGGCTATGTAAATGCTAGCTATTATTATTAGTGCCATATTGTCCTATAAAGTGTGTTTGTCTAATAATCTGTGTAATCTTTCTCCTTATGGAATAGGCAATTACTTTTATTGATCAGGAAACTGAGGCCCTGGGTAGTAAAGTGATTGTTGATGAGAGTAACAACTCACATTTGTATTGCACTTTAAGAATTGTAAATGCCTTCCCTGCAACAATGATATGAGGTAGATAGTGAAAGTATTATTTTTATTTTACAGATGAGAAAACTGAGGGTCAAAAAATGATAGCTGACTTGTCCATGGCCACATTATATCAGATTGGAGCTCGAATCTAGTTATCTGGTTTGGTTGACTGGGTGGAAGGAAGCACATTTGTAAAATGCTTTTGTATTTAGTCTATTTAGGAACTAATTCTACGGAACTAATTACTGTGTTAGAGTGGTGTCAGTAACAAGCAGAATACTGAGAAAATTGATTGTGGCACTTAATATATCAAAAGTTCATTTTAAAAAACTCTTTAAATACTTTGGTGGCAGGGAGAAAAAGAAGTTTTAATAATGAATGGTACTGGTTAATTTTTCATTTAAAATTCAAATCTACTTGTATTCTGCTAGATAGAATTTGGCCACTAGAATTCTATAATTACCATTGTAGAAAGAAATTTGCCTTTGAGACTTTTTCTTTTAAAAGTGCACATGTCCCAAAAGGCTGGAGTTTTGTCAGCATGGATTTTAGGTTACATTAACTATCCAGAGTCTATATCTGAAGGTTGCTTCCTAAAATATATATATATATATATATATATATATATATATCTACATCTATATCTATATATCCCTATGGAATAGATAGTACTTCACATCTAAGTAAGTGCATTATATTCTAAGACCTTTTATTCCATCTATATTCTGAATTTTTAGAGTAAGTCATCAATGCTTAACTTCTCTTGGCCCCATATGTGTCTTGCTACATGAGCAAAGTCATGCTTTGAACAATGAGTTTTACAATGTAGATAGCCTATGGTAGACAGAAAAAGCATTTCCCTTTTCCCGGTGAGGAGAGAAGACACACCTAGAATCTTGTCGTGATGAGCCAGTCATAAAAGTGCCAGTTACTCATCCTGTGTAAAATAAGGAAGTTAGACTAAAGAATCTTTGAGGTATTTTTCAGTTCTGACATTCCGTGATAGATGAAATTGCCTTGTCCCTTTTGTAAATGCAGTCCCACCTCCTCAGTTCTGGCATTGGTCAAAATTAACCGGATCTTCAGAATCTCTCAGAATGGGATACTAGAACCTTTTACCCCAGTACATTAAGGTAGATAGAAACCAAAGACCACTTCATGGTTTTAGGTCATTGGGCATAGAGCTAAAATCACCATGGGCAGGCCCATGGCTTTTGTGTTTCAAAATTGGAGAGATCTCTCTCTCTCTCTCTCTGTCTCTTGATGTGTGTGTGTGTGTGTGTGTGTGCACGTGCATCAATAACTAATCCTCTCCGTTTGGGTAATGTATTTTAGGTAGTTAAGGCTAACAGATTCAGTTTTAGATCATATAAATATAATATGATTACATGAAGAAATTGTCAAGTTAGCAAGCATTTATTAAGTTCCTATTATGTGCCAAGCATTGTGTTAAGCACTTAAGAAAGACAGAAAAGTCTCTGTACTCTAAGAGCTCAGGAGGGAGAGAGTTTTAGGTGTTCCTGGAGTTGGGAGATGAGTGACTTGTTCAAGGAACAACAAGGAGGCAAGTGTCACTGGATGGCAAAGTAAATAGAGGGAATAAGGTGTAAGAAGACTAGAAAGGTAGAAAAGGGCAAGATTATGAAGGGCTTTAAAAGCAAAACTAGAAGGTTTTATATTTGATCCTGGAGGTAATATGAAACCTCTGACATTTATTGAATGAAGAACTGAGGTTTACATGGTCAGACCTGTGCTTTAGGAAGATCAGTTTGACAGCTAAGTGGAGGATGGACTGGAGTGAGGAGAAATTTGAGGCAGGGAGACCAACCAGAAGACTACTGCCATAGCCCAGGTATGGTAACAAGGGCCCATTTCAGAGAGACAGGTAGAAAAGACAGGATTTGGCTACAGATAGAGGGATTGAGAGTTGAAGATAGAAGAGTTGAGGTTAGAGGATGACAGGTTTTGAGCCTGGAAGACTCAGAGGATAATGGTACTCTCATTAGCACTAGGGAAGTATGGAAGAGGGGAGAGTTTGGGAGACAAGATAATGATTTTATGTTAAATTTAAGGTGTCTACAGGACAACCTGTTTGAGATGTCCAATAGACAGTTGAAGATTTGAGACTGGGGGTCAGGAGAGAGGTTGGAGAAGGCAAGACAATAAACATTAGGTGCTTACTATGGGCCAAGTACTCTGCAAAGTGCTGAGGGTACAAAAAGGAACTCTTCGCCTTCAAGGAGTTTACATTCTAATGGAGGAAAACAACACATGAAAGGGAATTGAAAAGAAGTGGGAGGAGAAAGGTACCTGAGAGCCAACTGTTAAAGTCTGGAAAGGCCAAAACAGAGCTAGGAGAATGAAGGTTGGCCAGCCTAGATAACTCCCCATAAGGAGGCTTTGGGAAGGAACTTAACAATGGTTAAAAGAGGCCAGCATCATGGAGAGATTTTCCAGGATGAGAAGACCTCAGGAGATGATGAGCGTTCCAGAGTCAAGGGATCCCAGGCATTAAGGGAAGTTCCAGAAAGAGAATGTAGCTGAGGCATGATGTTGACGTACAGAAAGTCAGAAGCAGAGCTGGGAGTGGAATGAAGGTTGGCTGGCTTGGGCCTCTCCCCAAAAAGGAGGCCCCAGAAGAAATCACCAGTAGGAGAAGGGTGCTGGTTCGGTGGAGGGATGTTCCATTGTAACAGAACAGTGTCATAAAAACCAAGAGAAAAGAGAACATCAAAGAGAAGAGGGTGATTCAGTGTCAAAGGTGAAGACTATGAAATAGCCATTAGATTTGGCAATTAAGAGATCATTGGTAACTTTGGAGAAAGAAGTTTCAGTTGAATGAAGATGTTGTGCATATAGAAAAATTTACCTTGGCAAGGAGAGAGGCCACCTTTTCATGTGAGACTAGGGTGAAAGAGGAGATAGTGGGGAGAGGTATCAGAGGGATGTGAGATGAGGCGAAGGGGATAAGAGAGAGCTCTTGGTAAATGGCCTCAAGTTTTTCATCGAAATATGGGGCAAGATTCTCAGCTGAGAGGATGGTGATGGGAGGGGATGCTTGAGGAGGGACGCAAGGTTTGGAAAAGGTGCAGTGATGAGTGGAGCAGTGACTTGAATAAAGATTGCCTTGCCCCAGCACAGGCCCAGTTGAGATTATGTACCATACATTTGTAGTGGATCCACCCACTCATCGGTTTTGAGATTTTCTTCAGTTTTACTCAGCAGCAGGTGAGTAGGAGTGAAGGCAGTGGATGGTGGGAGTAATCTAATGCTGAAACTTGGTAGGGTGAAATCTGAAGTTGTCTGAGTCTTAAAACATAGGCCACCAACAGTATTGGTTTGAGGCCTAACGTCCACCTGTTCTTTAAGTCTTCCCATTGTTTTTCCTATATAGTGGTCCTTTGTA